TCAGGAGCCCTTTGACCCCCGCTGGCAGGTTGGTGGGTTTCTCCCTCTCTGTTTTCTGTCTCTAAAAATGAGGTCATGGCTTTGAATGAGACAAAGAGCTTTTGCAGTGTGAGGAACAGCCCCAGGACAGCTGTGAGTGCAGAGCCCCGTCCATCACATCGGTCCCTGAGCACGTGAGAGGCAAACGAGCTGCTGCAACGCTACAGGAGCAGCAGCATTTCCATGCACCCAGGGTAGCGGAGCTCTGCACGGGCTCTGTCAGCAGCCAAGAGGTCGTTCCTCATTACAACAGACCAGTCATGAGGTTTGGGTCTGAAAATGAGAGATTCTACGATTTCACTTCTGCCCGAAACCGTCGAGATAACAACAAAGATAAGAAGCAGTCAGATGGTATTTTTTAAAGCAGATAAGCTTCACTGAGAGATTGTTAGAGAGAACTTCAGGAGTCTTCTGCTTTCCTCATTCTCATGATCAGTTTTGTGTATCAAGGACTCCACACATGCAAGGATTCCGTGTCGTGCCGTAGCCATCCATGCAGAACTCACAGCACCACCGACTTGCTGTAGGGAACCTGCTTTGGCAGGGGGTTGGACTCGATGATGTCTGGAGGTCCCTTCCAACCCCTACAATTCTGTGATCCATCAGGAAGGGGAGGATTTTCCTTCTGAGAAGACAAATCTCAAAGCTGCAATTCCTATAGGCAGCAAATGGAGCAAAGCATTGTGCACCCCTCACCTCTCCTCACAACCAGGCTTCCAGCTCCAGGTACCAGCGAGGAGTTCAGGTCCAAATCTTCCTGAGTTTTGCAGAACGTCTGTTGCTTAGATTCGTGCCTTGGTGGGGAGTGCATCCATCAGGGAGGACGGGCAGGAGGCGATCTGAGCTCCAAAGTTACTCAGCACTTGCTGAAAAGGTTTGCTGTAGCAGCAGAGGCTAAGTGGGAGATTGTGCAGTGCAGACTCTCCAAGCAGAGGTGGGATCATTCTCTCCACATTGCCTACGTTTACTGGAGTAAAGTTTAGCGAGCCACAGATGAAGCAGAAGGACCTCTGCTATCCCTGCAGGGTGCTCCAGGCAACTCATGTGGGGCCACACAGTGCTGCCATGCCCAGCAAGAGCCAGGACACAGGGGTTATCACCAGCACCGACCCTGGCTGTTCTGGCTCCACACCAGCATGTGCTAACTAGTCCCAGTGGCACTGTCCTGCTAACGGAGGGGATTGCCAGCATTCCCTGCTCTTGCCCCAAAGGCTCATTTGTGGCTATCGGTGTTGGACACAAACAGTGATGAATGGAAGTAGCTGGGGGGGGGAAGAAGAAGGGACAGCACAAACATAGACTGTGTTCACAGAAATCAAAGATGAAAGAGGCCCTGTTGAATCATTCACTGCTGCAGGGCTGCTCCCAAACAGCACATTCTCCAGCAGTTTATCCAGTGGATGGACGGATCTCAAGCACTGAGGTTGCAAGAATAATACCTGAAGGCTGAGGGACTTCACAGCTGGAAGCACCCTTCCCATCTGCCCTTCCTCTAGTTGCCCTCACGCCCTTCTCTTCACCTGCATGGTCTGACCCCCCTCCAGACCACACTTTGCCACTCTCCCAAACCTGGTTTTAGTCAGTCCTCAGGAAAAGCCACCCTTCCCAACCCAATAATTGCTGCTCCGGCCTTGGCTGCAGCACAGCAGCCTTTTGTTCCAGCACAGCTCCAGCTGCTCCCACCGCCGTGCACACAGCAGCTGTTTGTCACAGCACACCTCTTGGATCCAGCAGCACCCACACAAAGCCCCCTCCTGTCACCACACATCGGTACCTGGTACTCATGGAAATGGAAAGCTGCTGTCCTCTCATTGCTTCTTTGTGCTCCATCTCTTTGTATTTACGAGCTGCCTCCAGCCCAGACCTACAAGGGCGCTCTCTCTGCAAGTGGAACAATCCTTTATTCTGTTTGCACAGCTCCAAGCAAAGCAGGAACATCCTGCAGAGAGCAGCGCAAGCAACAAGCGCTGCAGAGGGAGGACATCCAGCAGCAGCACGTTGGCCCAGATGCTGTGGATCACTGAGCCACGTTGGGTGCTCTCTCTCCAAGCAGAGGATCAGAGCAGCTCCAGACAGAGCACTGCTCTGCAGCCAGCGTGAATTCAACAGCAGGCAACTCTTGGTGTCCTTGGAGAGGACAGGGCGGGCACACCTACATCCACTGAGCAAAGAGCCACTTGTCTGCTTTCTTCCTATAAATAAAATGCAGGTAGTTGGGAGGAGACGGCAGAAGAGCAGCGGGTGTGAGGTCTGAGCACTGGGAGGTCAGATCCCAGCAGGATCGCTGCTAACACTGGGGAAGGAAAGCGCAATTTCTGAGTTTTATTGCATGCCCCATCTCAGCAAAAGTCGTAACCCGTAAATCCAAAGCAGGATCCGGATGCTCTCCTCAACTGTGCACAAATTGGCTCTAGCCTGCTCTGCAAGAACATTAACGTCATTTGAGTGCCGACATCTCGCACGGATTTGAGTCACTGCACTCATTATATTTGCATTTTTCCTTAAGTCTTAACTCCTGGAGACAAACAGCCACAGAGAACTTCAGCTCCCAGCAGAGCAAAGGGAGAGCCAGCCCGCTCCCTGCATGGAAGAGAAGGACCTCAGACCTCACAGGCCATTCTCATGTGCTTCTCCAGCAAGGCTTCCCTCCAATGTGAGATGGGACAGGCCCTGGAGGTCGGTGTGCAGGCAGCAATTGGAGAGTGAGAATTCATGAGGTCTGCTTCTCCTCTCGTGCAGGACAGCAAAATTAAACTCATAGTTTTGGGCTGCGAGAGGAACTGCCATGCTAGGATATGAAAACAAGGAGGGAACAAATCTGAGGACCTCCAAGGAACAGCGCGTGTAAAATCATAATAAAATGGGTGCTTTGTATATCCATGTCTTCAGAACAAGCAGCTCAATGGCTTTGTTGGTACATCAGCAACTTTCTGCAGCTCTATAACACAAAACTGGATTCAGAGATTCTTAAAGCAGTGATAAATAACAGCAGCACAAGAAATAGACCCCACCTGGGTGCTCCTGAATGGCATCCTACCTACTTTAAACCAGTCTAGAGCCATAGAAACAACACATAAAGAGTGGTACAGATTAGCAGCATCGTGTATAAACCCTAGAGGGCATCCAGATCTGTTTCCATTTGCTTTCATACAGTTCTTGGAAGCAACCTGCAAACCCTCAGTGGACCCAACACAAACAGCTCCGGGTTCAGGTGCTCAGAGTGAGGCAGGGACATCACGGAGCAGCTGCCACCTCCCCAAAGCATTCATAGAAACACATTCAGGGAGTCCCACACATCTAAGAGCCACCCCTGCCCTGCTGCTTTGCTGTTGCATAGTTGTTGCATAGATGCTTTCAGAACCAGCTTCTTCGGTACACATGCTGGCAAAGCTCCTACCAGTGGCTTCTCTACAGGATTGGGCTGCTTGGGTTTTTATTACTTTTAAACTTGATTATTTATTTCAGAGAGAGCTGTGAGCTCACGGCAGGAATACATGTGGCCACAGAGTGCCCCTGGGGGAAGCTTAGCAGGAGGTGTGCCACACGCACACCCATCTCTCCTAGGGACTCTGGCAATGAGCAAGCAAACCAAAGGGTTTCACTTTCCAACTCAGCCACCAGCCTGGAGATTCTGGCTTCTCACACAGCATATCTCACTGCTGGCAACAATAGGCTACGAGCTTCCAAAAGAGATGCTGTCTGGAATAAGCTCAGCACCTGCTGTCACTCTGCTGTATAACAGTGATGATAAGCTCAGAGAGCAGCCCATGGGATTTATATGCTTTATATGCAGGTACCTCCAGGCTGCTGCAACGCACAGCCACGAGGTTTGAGCTCAGTGCTGCTCAACCAGAAGCTCTTCCAGAAGAGGAGAAGACCCCACACCAGCTATGTACACAGTGAGCTGCAAGGCAACAAACCCACCAGCAAACAGCACAGGGAGAAACTCCCCACAAGGTGAAGCTTCTCTCTACATCCTAAGATTGGCTTCTGCCCCAAAATACAGGGATTTATATCCCTTGCAAAGCCCTCATTTAATTTCCTATTAATTCTAGAGATTCTTGCTATCCATATCAAGTTTCTAACCCTTTTTTTCCCCCCAAATCCCATAAGCTGAGCCCTCTTGGCTCCCACAGCATCGTGCAGGAATAACTTTCAGAGCCTGAAGGCTCTGCAGGGATTGCTGCTCTCAGCTCTGTGCTGCTCCCACTGAAGGCCAACACTGTGAGCTGTGGGTCGGGCAGGTCCAGCTCACCAAAAATGAGAAGCAAATTGCAGGCAGGGCGAATAACAGGGATGGTTTAAAGGCTGGTACACGTTTTTCAGGAGCGCCCGCATGATTCCGGTGCCCAAATCATTTGGGTGCTTTTGAAGTTCTTACTCATGTTCTATTTCTATAAATCCCTGGTTATTCTCACGTTACACACACAAACACAGACGCTTCTCTCCTGAGCCCGTATGGAGGACTAAACCAGCCACACACCCGGATCTGCTCCAAGCTGGGTTGCTTTCTCTGTGCTGTCCACAGCGAGGTCCGAACGAGGACCAGGAAAATCGTTGCTGAGATGTTCCCCCCTCCAAATTCAGTCTTGTTATTTTAAATGCAAGCACGAAAGCCCAGCACCTTGCCAAGCTTGCCTGCCACCGCAGTGAAAGCCCTACCCGATCCCAGCGCTCTTCTCCTCCTCCTAAAGCCGTCACTCACGGGACCACCGATAAGAGCCACAAACAACGGACGCAAACATCTGCACTATCAAAGCTCGCAGCCGTGCCCAAGGTGGGAACTCTGCACAGCAGTCGACTGTGACACACTGACACAAAACCCAACGCAGCCCCGTGTGCTCCCCCCGTACCCGAGAAGGGCTCAACGCAGCGCAAAACCACTCAGAGCCCCCCGTGAGCTGCAATGAACGCCTCCTCCTGCCACGTGCTGGCTTCCTTCGGTTTAAACATCCACTGACCTGCGCTCATAGGTGCTCACAGGTCCCCGCAGCTCCTCGGGGGGTTCGGGAGGTGCACGCTCAGCTCTCGCTCCCCAAACCTTCCGCTCGGTTGTCCTTAAGCCGAACTCGGTCACAGCAGCCGCCTCTGCAACAACGAGAAGCGTGGGAAGCGCTCCGGCCGCGGCTCCGCGAGCAGAGAGGTGCCGCCCCGCAGCCGCTCTCCCTCCGGTTCCGCACACGTCGGATTTTTGGGTTTGGCTTTCCCACAGCGATAGGCTCGAGGGGAGAATCGGCAGAGGAGAACTCCATTCGGCTATGAGCAAGCCGCAAACGCTACCCCGAGCCCTGCCGGAGCGTCCCCGTCCCCGTCCCCATCCCCGTCCCCATCCCCATCCCCATCCCCGTCCCCGTCCCCGTCCCCGTCCCCATCCCCATCCCCATCCCCGTCCCCGTCCCCATCCCCATCCCCATCCCCGCTCCTACCTCAGCCCGCTCCCGGTGCAGCCCCAGCGCCTCCGCCGCCGTTTAAATGTGCAGGTGGGGGCGGGAGCGTGCGCTGCTACGGGCGGAGCGGGGCCGTTAGGGGGGGGTCGGTCTGTCTCTGTCTGTCTTCCGTCCGCCCCTCTCCCTCCCGGTCCCGGCACCCTCGGGTCAACGAGCAGCCGAGATTTTAAGAGCCTTCCCTTCCCTTCCCCTCCCCGCCCTCTTCTTCTTCTTTTTTTTTATTCCTCCTTTTTCTTTCCTCCTTTCTGCTGAGGAATTAGCAGCAGCCTGAATCGTTTCTCGTTTTGTTTGGTTTTCCTAATCTATTCATTACTTGTAATTGCTCGGATTGTATGCAAATGAATTCCATGCTATGGGAAGCTTGTGACCTGGCCCCTGGACATTATTCATGGTACATGACTGCTTCCAATCACACGGCATGTGTGCGAGAGTGGGGGGAAGACAGACAGACAGACTGACCATGGACCCACACACTGTCTGGCCCTCTCTGAGTAATGTCTAATTGCTCTCACAACAGCCAAACAGAAATGGGAGCCGAGGAGAAACGAACACCGACCCACACGATGAGCACGGCAGCCACCCTCAAACATCTGCAGCAACGCAGGGACAGGGGAGAGGAAAAACAAGAGCACGGCTGACAAAAGCAGCTGTTCTTCGGTCCGTGCTCACAAAGGGGAGGGCGAGCACTTCGGCCCATCGCTCATCAAAAGGCTGTTGTCAATTTGTACTATTTAATAGCAGGCCGTGTGTTTTGCAATGCTTTGGCCCAGCTGCAGAAGCGTTACGGAGACGGAGTTATTTTTAATCTTCGCAGGGTCCCTCCTTTGGGCAACTCTGTACCTCTCAAGGTCAGAAATCCCATTTCCCCGTCACATTTCAGCTTGGGTCAGCAGGATGGCCTTGTTTTCACCCAGCAGCTGTTCCCTCCCTGCTTGCTGAAAGGACTCACCCGTCGTGGAAAAAGCAGAGAGGCACCTGCACGTGTTGTCACTTGAACCGATGAGGACTCGCTCACAGCACACAAGGAGAAATGACACCCCTGTTTCCTGCAATAAGTTTTTCGGCGCTTTTAGATGCAGCCAGAAACTCACTGGAAGGAAAATAACAGAAAGCCCTGAAGAGCTAGCAATGACTTCAGCTGGTAAAGTGCCAGAGCGCGCATTTGGGTGGGGAGAGCTGCCCCTGCTCACAGGCAATTCAATATCTAGGAGCACTGCTCTTTTTATGCTCTTCCTTTGCAGCAGAGCACGCGGCTCTGACCCAGAGGATTCCTGAGCACAGGGCTGGGGCTCAGTGCTGCAAGGCTCTGCTCACACCAGCAGCACAAAGTGGGGTTTCTTATTCCCCGCTGCCAGCTCTGCCTCCAGTATGGGACCCCAGCTCAAGCAGAAACACCTGCAGGTTGGGATGGCAGGTGCTGCTGCTAAAGGGGAGGCTCTGCTCCTCCCATGGGTTGTCACAGACTCTCATTTCCTTTAATAAAGTGGCACCAACATTCACATGCTGACAAGTCAGTCAGGTAGCAGCACAGCAGTGGCTGCACCCACAAAGCTGTGAGCAGAGTAGGCTCCAATGTTCCCAGCAGAGCAGAGGAGGCTGCCAGGGCAGCACTGTGCCTGCGATGCATCTCCTGCTCACACGCCTATGGGATGCCCCAATTTCCAAAACAGTGATGCTTGCTTCATAAACACCACTCAAGGGAAAGAATGCCCATGTGGATGACACCATGGCACTGTGCTGAGTTCCCACTCCTCCCTGCTTGGGTCCTTCTTCCTTTTACTATAGCTTTACAGACACAATCCCAGCTCCCAGCAGAACAGAGTGAGGCATGAGAAGACTGGATACTTCCTACGTGCTCCTAAATGCATCCAGCAGGTAACCAGAGGGTTCTGAAACGTCAGGCCTGAGCACAGCAGTAAGAGCTTAGCACCATTCGTGCTGCTTGTTGCAGTAGATCCAGTCCTGAGCTTGTAACTGGACCAGATTGCATTGCTGAAGCAGAGCGAGGATGTTCAGAACAATGCAGGATGGAGCCATCATGGGAATCTGCAAATCAGATTAATTTATCAAAAGAGGGAAATCAACAGCATCAACTCACATCTCAGCTGCTCACGCCTGATTAGATGGCAGCGCAGATTTGCCCCAGCCTTATCTAAATCTCATGCGTCCAGCCCAGCAGAGCTCAGTTTGTGGTATCTGCTACAACCTGACAAGGATTAGACACCACCACATGCGGCACAGAACACAAGTAGCTGGTGAGCAGGAGAGGGCCCCAGCTTTACTGCTGTGCTGTGACAGCTCAGGCCATTTGGCTGCAGGTCTCTTCCTCAGACCTTCACCCTGCTGCACAGAGGGATTCCATGGATGCTCTGCATTACCCTGGAAGCCACAACAGCCCCGGGTTGGCCAAAGGTAGCCTTAAAGCCATCTCGTGTTTAATTACTGAGCTTGAATGCTGACTCACAACGCAAACCTTTCGCTCTCCGTAAGCCAAGAAAACAAACCCATCCCCAGCACCCCACCCAGGGAGGTTAGCAGTGACTATTTACAGAGCACTGCGATGCTACGGTGGAGAAATATTACAGAAATGCTAACAAGTAACATATTTTGGAGGTGCTCAATGCTGTGCCTTGAGCACAAAGCTGGGAATTCACTGCGTGCTCCAGGCAGAGAGATTTCCTGATGAGCTGATGGTCCCGGAGCTCTCGTGCCAGTCAGGAGCGATGCTGCCAGAAAATGGACTTTGTATAATTGTGCCTAATGTACCTTTAAGGAGAGAAAGCTGCTAGAACAAACAAAAGCAGCGCCCGGCCGTGCAGGCTGTTTATACTTGGGGTAGCCAGAGCACAAGGCTGCACTTTAGGGCTTATCTTCTCTCTCTTTCTAAACAGGAAACGCACTTTTGTTCTGAGCATTCTGGGAGAAGCCACTGGGGGAGAACCTTCAGAACACAGGGTGTCAAAAAATGAGTGCTTCAATTCCCTCCCGAGGCCCAACGGGAGAGCACTGCAACCAGCAGGGATGCTGCTCCTAACCACTGCAGGGACATCCACAGTGAGCAGCCAGTAAGGCCAGCTGTAGGTCAGGCAAGTCTTTAATTGCTATTCCTTAATTAAGATTCTCGAGACTTAAATAATCTCATGCTTTTGGTACTTAAGGTGTTTGGTTGGTTTTTTTTTTGCAGACACTGCAAAGTTAAACAAATTTGGTTAGAAAACATCTCTTTGGTGCAGAGAAGGAGTCACTGGTACCCCTTGCTGGATTCCAAGGCCTTTGCAGCCAAGCAAAGACTCTGTCCCTTGTCAAAATCCTTACTGATACTACAACTGCTCCCACCATTTGCCACTCAGCATCAGTGTTACAGTTCCTGCAGAAAGAGAGCTGTCTGTGAAACTGTACTTACACGAGTGTTGCTAAACTGGGTTTGAAATGCAGGCATATCTGCTGTATTTACAGAGCATAGGACAAACATTTTAGCGTTCCCCCTGCTGTTCCCTGGGCTGCATTCTTAACCTCTGCCTTCTCCAGCCAAGCTCCTCTGCCGTACGCAGCATCACACGCTCAGTTGCCTTTGCTGATTTTCAAGATGGAGCTGCAGCGTGGAGCTGCCTGCCCTCCACCAGGCAAGCTGTGGTTGCCCCTTTCCCTGCCAGGAGGGCACTGGCAGGGAGGCACATCCTTGCTACAGGGAGAAACAGCCAGCCACAACAGCAGCACGAATCCAAACAACCTCACAAAGGGGAAGCTGAGCATCACCTCACTGTACAGCCTACAGGACATCACAGACACCACACAGCACGTTGCTGCCCCTTCTCCTCCACCACTCCTCACCCTACAAATGAGGCAGGGAAGAATTTCCCAGCCAGGCTCTTCAGCCAGGTTAGGAAGCATGCCTCTGAGATAGCTCAAGTTCTCCTCACTAGATTATTCAAGCAGCTTCCCACATCCTGCCCACTTTCTTCCCACGTTTAACCGAAGGGGGTATATTTTATTTTGCTGCAGCCTGGTCACATCCCCACAGGGAAAAGCAGTGGCTTCTGGTGTCAGTTTACAATTTTCAGCTCCCAGAATGAGATTTTAGGGTCTTCCTCACGGGTTAGCCTAACTCGATTCAAATCTTGTTAGAGAAAGAGGATTTAGCTCCTTCCCACCCTGCATATTTGGTACCTGAAACTTAAAACTGCCCTCTCTGCCTTGTCCCGCTCCGTTCTGCTAAGCTAGAGACAAAGGAAAGGATTTATTTCTGTTTCGGGTGCCAAGGAAACTGTCAGCTCCCATTGAGCCTCGGCCATTCCCCGCACCACACTTGCTCAGCCACTTGCAAATGATGCACCCCATGAGCCATCCATTCGATTTCCCAGGACAGCTTCAGCCACCAGCTCTGCTGGGGACTGCATGGCAGCGGGCAGGGAGCAGTGGGATGGGGCCCAGGGCTGCACCGGGCAGAGGACCTCAGCTGAGCAGTGCTTACCAATAAAAGCCCCCCTCGAAACAGGGCAACAAGATGGAAAAAACATGTTCTTGGCTGTGAGTTCCAGCTGGGGGCCTCCTCATTAATGAAATGCAACTCGTTTGCAAGTGGAAATGTAAAGTTCCAGTTCCCTGAAAAAAAAAATCAGGACTCCAACACTGAGAATTCCTTCCTCCAGCTGACAGCAGGAGATCCCAGCGATCGCAGCCATGCTCATCGAGGAGCATTTGCAGCACTATTTTGCTAAGATTAAAACTTTCATTTTCTTGGCTATTTTATGACACAATTAATGGACGGATTTTTTTGCTTCAGGTAAACAACCTGCACCCTGTTTATAGGACACAGCACAAATATTTCCCAGCGTGTTTACTCCCATGCTGTATGGACAGGAAGCGACTGCAGAAGAAAGCCAGCCCAGCTCTGCTCCTTCCCAAAGTGCTGCCAGAAGGTAAGAGCAGCTTTGCTGGATGCAGAATTCTGCCATAGAGGACCTGAGATATCAGAGATGGAGAACATTGCCACACACTCACCTGCAGAGATGCTGAAAGCAACCCCATAGGATCGATTCCATTTCATTCAATTAAAAAAAAAAGGGATCATTAAAAGAATAAGATTTTTCTGTTCAAATCTCAAAATGATAGAGCAGGGTGAAGATACCTGTGATTTATTTACAGTCAATCCAGCTTTGTGGGCTTTCACTCGTCTTGCTCCTTTCTCCCTTTACGTGCTCTAACAACCAATTTTCTCTCACATTTCTCCATGAAGAGCTGAGTGCTGTCCTCAGCATTATGAGCCAGGAAGGTGTTCCAGCACCTGCCAAGATAGCAGCTCTTTCGCTGCTGCTGTGATATTGATGTGAGAAACTTCAGTCCTAGGGATGACCAACGTGAATGTTAAGAATTGTTCTGGGATGAAACCTGGGAGATATTACTGACCATTCCCTCCCAGCCCAGGAGACTTACCGAGGGGTCCCTGGAATCCAACAAGTCGTTTAACAAAGGAAGAATGGAAGCACTGCCTGAGGTCAAGACACAAGCACCACTGGAGACCCACCCCAGCAGTGTCCTAGACAGAACCCCCCCTTTTTCCATATGGTAGAGTGAGCGCTCAAATGTGATGTAACGAGAACTGTCAGAATGGGATCAGCTACAGAGAATGATCAGTTACCTCCCTTAATTCCCTCTAAGGAGCACAGAACCCTTTCTCTTGGCGTGGAGTCACCTTTGTGTAGGGCAGCTTTTTACTTTGCTAGAACCTAAAAGTCAGAGCTGGAAAAGATCAGACAGCTTTGCCATCAAAATTAACACAGGGCTGCCTGCCAGAATACCTCTTGCACCGCAGGGCAGCTCAGCAGCCTCTAGCTGGTTGGCCACGGCCACTTCTCAGAATGAAGGAATGTCCTGAAACACTCCAGCCACCTACAGAGACTCAGGGCTACCAAAAGCACAGTGCTGCAGTGCTCACATCAGAAGTTTGCTCTCCAGTTAGACGGAGATCATCACCAATTTGTTTCCACTGGGTTTATTTTTTCCATGTCAAGGTCAATTGCAGATATGTTCCAATGAGGAATGTGCTGTAAGCAGCAGCTAACTGAGTCAAAGTTTGTTATCAGGGCTTACCACAGGAGGACAAAGCTTTCTCTAAACTTCTAATCCTCTTATCGCCATGCAAGCACAGCCCCCTAGTGCAGACACAGCTCTGGATGGTGTTTCCTACTCCCTCCTTGCTCTGGGTCCAGGTTATGCCAAAGAAAAGCCTGGAGACAAAAAATAAGAGCTTTCTGAAATGTTGCAAAGTGAGGAAAAGGATTTTTGTTGCCGTTGTTTTCTTTGCTTTTTGTTGTTAAGATGCTGTTATGTCAACAGCTGATCTGCCAAGGCTGCCAGACTGGGTTTATGTCTAAAGCTTTGTTATTTGTTTTGGTGTCAGCTATGCCTTCCAGCATCCACAGACTTTGATTTTCTTAAATAATTACTATTTTTAATTTTAATGATACCGTGTTCTACCATCAGATCAGAGAGCGAGTCTCTTCCTCGTCAGGTTTGCACTCAACTGACTGAACACGCAGAATAGATTATAGTTGAAAGAATCTTACTTGAAAAGACCTGTTTGAAAAGAGAAAGAGATAACAGTCAGTAATTTTGCATGAGAGAAATCTTTCTGCACCCATGTTTGACAGAACCAAAGTAGTTTCACTGTCCTGAGAGACCTTTGAAGTATACAGGTTTTTCTCAAGAAGAAAGGTCACGGAGGAGCCAGCAGATTACTGCAGAGAAAACGAAAGAACAGTCATGTGGGTGCAGTTTCCAAAGGAGGTGACTCTGTAAGATCCACAGCCTGAGCTCAGCTCTAAGATCAGACTACTTGAGGAGGATGGCAGAGAAAGGGTTTCAGAGAGGAGAGCAAGTGGCACTGAGAGCATTTAACTCAGCAAGCTGCAGAGCGCTCCAGCATCGAGCTTCTGTGATGGGACTGCAGAGAGCCCAAGGAGCCAGACTCCCCATGGTCCCATGGCAGTTCCACCAGGCATCCTTAAGGAGCAGTGCTGTGATAATGCAAGCTCTCACACCCTCATGCACTAAATTGAATCACTATCTGAAAGTACTTGTAAAGTAAAACAGACTAAGGTGATTTGTATCTTCCCACATGGCTCTTTCATGAGCCAAACCACTTCACCACGTAGCAGCTTGACGGATGCCGTTAACTATATATTAAGAACTTTGCATTGGAAAAACTACCTTTTCATCAGGTGGCACACACTTTATTTTCTAACACAAACCAGCTGTGGTTTGTTCCAGCATGGAACAGCTGTGAAAGAGATGCAATGGTAAACAGAGAAATAATAAAGAGCACCACTTTGGGGCATCTGCCTATGGCTTCAGCTAAGGTTAAACCTATGGAATCAACGCTAAGAGGGAGGGAGCTTCCATTGGGCAGGGCTTTTCCCCTTCCTAAACTGTCTTTGGGTCCCCTTGACAGAGCCTCTGAAAGAGCCTGGCCTCTCTTACAGGAGATGCAGTCTGTCCTCACCAACACCCAGTGCATCCATTCAGCAAAGACCAAACTGAGGCATATTTCTGGAAAGAAAGAAAGAAACCAAAATCCAACAAGCTCCCTTAGATTGGAGACAGTCTAATGACTTCTAGCACTGACATAATAGCCCTCTTCATCAAAGTGCTCTATTTATGTTAATATTCGTGTTTGAATCTAATGACCTTGGGAAAATAACATGTAATAAGTCACAGAAAGATTAAAAAAAATATATGCAATTTGGTCTTCTACACTCAAAAGCTACTGGTGCTGTGGGGAGACAGAGATGCAAGAGCCAGAATGAGGGCTTGCACCCAAGATGCTTTGTCTCTCCTTTTGGTACCCTTGCTCAAGAAATGGCCAACATGAGAAAGGAGTTTAAAAGCCATTAAGTGGTATCACACATTTAAGGGTACAAAACCAGTTTAGTTGGATGTGAATGAGAGTGAAAGAACCCAAACCATCTCTGAAGGCAAGGCCTGGTAAGAATGAATTCAAACGCACCATCATGATCAGCAGCATGGTGTGAGTGCAAGGGAGAAAAGTGATGGTTCAGTGTAATAAACAGGAGCGTGCTCCAACTATTCCTTCCCTTCATTCATTTCTCAGGAAGTAAAAACTGCATGTTTTAGAAGTGACAGCGATATCCTCCTCACAAAACATTCAGCAGAAAAGCTGGGGAAAACATCAGCGCTGATGTCACCTCGAGAAACAAACGGACTGAAGTTCTCAGCCATAAAACATCCCAATTTATCAGAAATGTTTGAAAGGGAAAATGTTTGTAATGAACAAAGCTAACAGACACCGCTGTTAAGGAAAGCCACTAATTGATGATGTTGAACAAAAGCTCCTAACAAGGCCAACTGCTTAGTTAGAAATGCTTAGGGAAAAAAGATAGCGCGACTACAGGAAATTTATTGCTGCTGGAACTGTTATCTTATCTACTTAAAACACAAATGTTATTTAACCTGAAAGAAAAGAGATTATTCAAATAAAATACCAGCCCTTCCTTAAGCTACCGCGTTTGCAAGCAAAGCTTTGAATATAAAACAGATCATCATTCTGAAGGGTAAATTAAATACGAGGGGTAAATTAAATACGAGGGGTAAATTAAATACGAGGGGTGAGAATGAGAAATTCACCTTTGGCTTTGTGCAAGATTATTTCCATTGGCTGCCTATCTAAAAAGCAGGCAGCCAGGAGACCAAACTGCAACCACACATTAAGGCCAAGGGGTGGTTTGACCTGAAGACTTTAATTTGGTACTCACTTAAATGAAGAGAAGCCCTCGTGGGTCTCTGTCACAATGGGAGAGTACACTGTGCTTGAACTTGACCTGTATCTATGGAAAGAGTTAACCCAAAACACACAAAAACCATTTCCTGGTCTACATAAAACTCTGAGGCTGGAGATGTGTGTTAGCCCAGGATGTGGTTATTACTGAGCTAACAAGCCACACTTCCAGATCAAACTCAAGTCTAACGTATCACACGTCGCAGGCGTTTGTGCTTTTCAATCAATGCATCACAAACACAGCAGGCTGCCTCACCAGAGCTCCACGTTATTCTCACCCTGCAGCCCCAGGGCCTTTGCTGCACAAATAACCTCAGCTCCTGTGGGGCAGCTATCTTCTTATACTTCGTTTACCATGCTGCATGGGGGCACAGCCCCCAAACACTGGTGCAAGAATGAGGAATGATTCATTTTGTGGCTTGCTGTATTAAAACCATACCTAAAACGTGTTCCTTAACATACAGGAATCTCTCCATCTCCACTGTTCTTCCAGGTTTCCTCTGATGCACAGGATTAGTAAGAACAAAAATGGCAGCTCTTCACATCAACTTGATCTTATTTATGCACTTTCAAGGCCACCTATGGGGCCACAATATGCTGGAGAGCAGAATAAATATCTCGAACTCCACCTTTTGACTTTATTTCCATCCTAAAGAAACACAAACAGTATAATTCCTAATGCAAAACTCTCAGATTAAGACTTCACAGCTACTATTCTTTGCCAAGGGAATCTTATCCCCCTGGTTGGCCATGCTTGCTGCAGTTACAAAACCCTACATGCCTACATCTCAGTTGCACACCCTTTAAAAGTGACAAATAAGCATTTGGTTCCGTATTAATTCCCTGTAAATACCACTTCAGAGCCAATGGGGACTTTTAACTTGTGCTGGCTGAGCAGTCAGTAAATATACCAGGTTCAAAAGATCAATACTGAGGAACAAAGGGGCTTAAGCTCCTAATCGTACACACAAAGACCAGGGGCAGTGGGGAAGAGCAGCTCTTTAAGGAGAGCTCACAGCCCCTGGTGTTGCACCATTTCATACTAAGCAGTTATTTCTGGGGCAAAGTAGGTGCCACACCTCCTAATTCCATCACTGCTAATTAATCAGAAGCTGAAGCAGTGCAGTAGTACTTGGGGGTAATGCTGTATCTGCTCCAGATAAAAACATCCGTGACACAAAAGCAGCGTACAACTGCAGATACCACAGCAGTGAGGTTAAGTGCCCAGTATGTTTAAAAAGAAAAGGGAGGAACGCCATGAGCTGCATTATTACAACACTCCATTGATACAGAATCTCATTTTATCACACTATGGAGGAAAATAACCAGGTCAGGTACAAAAACAGAGACTGCAGCCAAGCGCCAGCTTATATCTGGCAGTAAGCTTGCAAGAGTTGAGCAACAGAGAGGGTAGCTCACAAAGTTTCCCTAACAACCTCTGAAAACAAACACAGTAAGCATCGTTTGCTGCAGCTGATGGAAGCAGCAATCTGGTTCCCTGTGTAATTGCATCCCTCACCAAATGGATGAGCCACCACAGCACCCTTTATGGCCGAGCGTGCTGCTGAATCGAGTACATACAAGATGCACTGACATCACACGTGCTGTAAGATCACAAGCTTACGTGTTCTGCCATAACACACCCTTAGGAAAACTGGGTCCCTTATGACGATTCTGGGATCCTAAAAGGAATCAGGAACGAATGCTTTACAACGTTTATACTGATGAACCGTAACTTCAGTTTTTAAAAGGTACACAAGCAAAATGCAGACAGAATAGCAAGACGTAGAACTTTCGATGGCAAGGCACTGTTAGCTGACACTTAGCTCTGCTTATAACAAACACCAAAGCGTTTTCCATCTCACCCTGCACAGAGGAGGAAGAGAAGCACGCTCAAAGCATCCTCGGGTGCACTGCAGAGGTCCATGCACGCCCTCTGCTGCTGGCCTGAGCTCCCAGTGGCAGAGCCGGAGAGCGAAGGGAGCTGATCCACCCCCAGGGACCACCAAGAATTCAGAAGTGCTTTTAAACCCGCTGCTAATTAAAAGCTCACTAAGTAGGATAACCCAGGTGCACGTGATGATGCACTGAGCATGCAGTCTGCACCGTGGGTCAATTTATCTGCACGTGAACTGACAGCCCTCTATCGAACTAAGCCAAGTGTGCATCCAGGATGAATGCAGCTGCCATCTGACACCCCCAGATAATGAACTGACTGTATATTTACTCTCACTGCTGGGACACACGTGGCAAAATAGAAAGGCTATTAATCGCTAAGGGAAAGCAAGGATGACAAATAAAGGGCTTTGTCTCCTTGTAATTGGGCTTCACTGGGTTTTGAACTTGACGGCCTCCATTTTCTTTGCTGCCAAGATGACTTAATTCCTTACATCTTCTCAACTTATAGGTAGTAACAGGGAAGGATACTTGCCAAACTGTTCTGGCCAAAACCTGACTCAGCCTCCTCAGAGAGAAGCACGGGGTCTGCAAAGGAACAAATCCCAAAACAATCTGTGAGACATCAGGAAAGAGGAACACACATCTCACTGGCACTGACAGAGCAGAAAGCAACCGCAGAACAGCGAGACCCTTGGATACAGAAAAATTACACAAGTCGTGTTTATGGGTTATAAAAGCCCTTTTATAAAGCCATTTTTAAACAAAACCAAAAAGTTTACAAAAGAAAATAAAAGATACAGAAGAATGAGTTGCTTAATATATTCCAAAAAGGAGAAAAAATAAAAGAGGGGACACAATTCCAACATGCTGAACAATAAAGGGTTCTTTTTCCTCGTGGTTTTTTTTTTTAATACAAAATACAAGCGAAGGATACACATTTAAAACAGAGCTCAGGAGCAGGTATGCAGTCCTGGGAACCCTTCAATAAAAGCAAAGCAGGGTTTTGTTACTTTTTTAACTTTTCTTTCTTTGCAGGTACATACAGAGACTGGAATATGTCAAATTAAGTAGCACGAAAGACCATCACACAATTCTACCAATGAATGTTGCACCTATAAATTCACGAACATGGTCAACAGTCATGTTCACTTCAACCCCTTTTAAAAAAAAAAAAAAAAAGAAAAAAAAGAAAAAAAAGTGTTGTTTTTATTTTAAATAAAGCATTAACGTTACATTCAAACAGAACTCCTAGTACCATGCTGTAGAGCTCAGTATTGTCAAGGTATTGCAAAAGTTGCCAACCCTCTCGGGCCCAGCGATGGGAGCCACGTCTGCGCACAGCCCAACCGTGGGGCAGCTGCCCCTTTTTTCTGGCCACTCTTGACATTAAAAAAAAATATATATATATATTAAAAGGGATAAGGAGGGTTAACTGCAAAGAGCCTGATTTTTAGAAAAGCTCAACATGGGACTGCAAATACTCAGAACAAGTATTTGTTGCATACCATACAACGATGCTTCGCTGAAAGCCAAAGGCCCGAGGCCCTACCTGGAGTCTCTTCCTTCTCTACCTTCAGAGCCATTATTCAGGGTTTGCTGTGACATGATGTTCATGGTTAAACAAAAGAAAGTCACGTAGCTCTTATTTACAAGTGTTTTGTTTTTTTTTTTGTTAACAATTGCTTCTGCAGGAAAAAAAAAACAAAAAAAAAGAAGGTAAAACTCACAAATCTTCAGAACACAAAGGGAAGAAAAGATGTCAGACGCTCCCATGCGCGCACTCACACTCGCGCACTCACACACCAAATACTTCAGGGGCTTTTACACACATTATTCTGGCTTCAGTTGAGTATTTCTCCATCCCACCCGCTACCCCTCCCAAAATATATATATAAAAAACCCTTGCCCCAATATACAAAGCATATGCACAACGGTGTTTTGCAGTCACACTGAGCATGCTCAGACCGATGGACCCATTCGACTCACTGCAGCTGGAGGGGGCAGGCAGTTGTTTCCCATAGTGGTTGATGCAGAGTCAGCACGTAAGTGAGAACTTAGAAACGTTTTTGTTTTGTTTTTCATACAAAGAGTTCAATGAAAAGACATTCGGATGCCAGTCTGCCACTGACATGGGAAGTCTAAGATGAGGATATGCTCAATCTGGGGACTCCAAAGGACACTGCCACCTTTCGGAGCTCTCCTATTCCTCAGCATTTTGATCACAACAGCTTCGTCGCCCAGTTCCACGCACATCATTTGTATTTAAACCTCCCCAAACTATAGGAAAATAGTCAAAGCTCAGGGAAAATTCTCTATTTGATCATATACATATAGAATATAGAATTTCCACATATAGATGGGACCCCACCCACCCCCCCAAACTTAATGCATCCTATATGCCAGCAACCATCTTGTGACAGTGTCCCTTTACACAGCTATCTGCTTGCATTTTTCATATCCTGCCTCCCCCAACAGATGAATTTCCACTTCTCAAATACTTAAACTCATGGATCAGTTTGTGGTTTTCAAGAACCATGTGTTCAACAATATGATCTGTTATAAAAATAAACACTTCACAAACAAATTACATAAAGCAAAGCACCAGTTTCTACAGCTCAAAAGCTTCCAGCATGTTACAGTTTGCTTCCCTCCCTCCTTAACCTGGGTGCCTCAGTGTCTATTGTACCTTTGTGACCATCAACAGCGGAGGGGGAAAAAAAAAGAACAAAAAAAAAAGAAAAAGAAATTCAAGTGCATTTTCTGCTGCTGCCCTGGTAGTTCATCACCTGCAGATGCAGCTGTGTGGTGGCACAGGAGCTGAGCACGTTCAGAGCCATTAGTGGCTTTCAGGTAAGGCGTGCTCTGCTTTTCCCTCCCCATGCACTCCTTTGCTTTGCTGAAGTTAACACAACAGAACTACAAGTTTCTTGGCTGCCATATTTCTAAGTGCTCTCACCCACAAGCCATTCTGAAACTCATCTAACTTGACACGTTTGGTGCTCGCTTGCTGATCAAATACAAACTGGAACAAGTAATCTTTAGGATGAAATTCCAACCGCAATTGCAAATCTTTACTGATCAAGCCTGGTGGCCGGTTAAAGACAGCATTCTTTGCATACAAATGTAAAACACAATGTACAGAGGGATGCAGAATAGAAATTAATAACAAACCTTTAAGTGTGAGAGCAGGGCAGGGCACCAGATTGACTGAACTTTGGAATAAACCTGTTTATCTCTCTGCAAACGCTCCACAACTACAGCTGTTTAACAGAAGACAATCTTTTCAAAGCTTTCTTCTGTGAATGAAGCTTTCTGCTCCTTGGAGGACTATTCACGGCTCTAGAGAAAGGCTTTTTTTTTTTTAAACAGCTTTTCCTTCCAGAATGCTTAAAACACAGATTAATTTAGGAGGACGTTTTAAAACTTAACTCTGCTGCAATTGAAAAGCGCGTCCTAGAAAGAAAAGTTATGTATTAACCTTCACCATTTTCTTCAATCTGTAAAAATGTAAACTGTGGTATTTCTAACAGGTGACCAAGAGACCATTGGGGCGTAGTGTCTGCACAAACCAGCACGACAGTAAGGCTATAGGAAATGTTACAAAATCCCAGTAGTAGCACAGGATTTACATAGTGTTTGGGTTGTGACACAAACTCAAAGATAGCATCATGCAGCCTGTGACAGCCATGAGAGATGAGCATACGAGAAAACAGAACACTTTTACAAGAGAAAGGGCCAAAATCACCAGGCATAAAATAATCTGCAGTCCAAAACCTGAACTGAAAACAACGGAAATGCATCTTTCACTTAACTTAACCGTGTTAGGAAAACTAAAAAAGAACACAAATATTTATCTTAAGTGGAACTTACAAAATACACTCTTAAGAAATAAATCTGGTCTAGCAGGTAAAGAAATAGCTGTGTGATTAGATCAACTAGAGGGATTCTACATTTATGTGATCCTTGTATGCTTTAATACCAAAAAATAAATCAAGACCATAAAGAGATTAGAATAACTTGAAACACAGTCTTGTCTGAAGGGGGAAAAACTTCGTGGGCCAGACACTAAGGAAAGTACATACTACCCCCAAAATATCAGTCCAAGCATCATTTGAAGTTTGGCCGTTTATTTTCCTGTGTTACCCAAGAAATGCTGAGCTAGGAGGGCAGGGGATGCAAGAGGCTCTGTCCTCCCAGAAGATGGGAAAAGTTGGTGAGGAGGAAAGGGGAGCACGTTCGCTTCTTTTCAAAGACTGATACTTGACTCCAGCCTTAAGCTGCTCTGCAAAACTAAACCAGGTAAAAAAAAAAAAAGATTTACAATGGAAACACTGATCATCTTTATTGTAACGGCAACAGTAGTTTCATTATAGTAAAGAACGTTAGAGAACTTCAAATTTTAAGCCAAGGTAAAGTAATTTACCAGCCTCAATAAAACCCATGGCTGTGAATCACACAAGACAAGCACTTGGCCGTTAAATTAATGTTCCATTCTGTGGTTTAGGCTCCACACTGTGCTCAGAATCTTCGGGCTCCCTCTGCCATTCAGCCAAGTGTCCTTCCTGGTCATATTAGTGTATCACATCTAAAAGCTCTCTGAAGTCCAAACAGGATTAAAAATCTGGTAGCACGTGCACCAGAAATCCGACTAGTTAGCTGCCTTATGTTACCTTCAAGAGGCTGGTTACAAAATATGTACTTCAGTGACAAAAAAAAAAGGAGATGCAAAGCTTGTCAGCTGTAAGGTAACTGTGAGCAACGTACAAAAGCACAAAGGGTCTAAGGAAAAAAAAGAAAGAAAAAGGCAGATCCAGTTTTTAATATTTCCACCAACAAACATGGCAGCAATCTCTGCATCAGGGTTTGAAAACCAAGGCTTGTGTACTTCAATTAAGTTTAAAAAAAAAAAAGGATATGGCTGCTTTGATAAAAACACATTAAAATGCCACTACACACACCTCAAGTATCTCCTTTAGAGGGACATCCTGCTTTTGTTATAGAACCATAGCCCTGCTACACTGTTTTCAAACTTCATTTCCTCTCAGCTTCATCCTTTAACTCTGTTCCCTACTCCATGCTTCCTAGGCTTAAGGAACAGAATGACGACCAACAGAGGCAGACATGTCAGCGTGGGAGCAGAGCGAATAAATCCTCCCATGCTGCAGTAGGGAGGATGAAGAAATGGAAGTGGTACTGGGGTGATGTTCACTATTGATGGAAGTCTGCTGTCCAACACTGTAGCTGGAGAGGCTTAGACATGATTACACAGCCTTCTGAGGACAGATGGAGGGAGAGAAGAGAAGCACTTAAGCGTGACTCATGGGATCCGAGACTGACCAGAGCATTACAGGAATCCTTTGCTTCACATTGATAAAAGGACACCCCTCACCCCAAAAGACACACACACAAAAAAAATCTACTTCTAGAATGTCCACCATTTTTTTTTCCCTTGGAACTTTAAAGAAAGTGTCCACAACGTCAACTGGAAAGCAGAGCTTTAAAACTTTTCAAATCTCTCTTCCCTATTCTGCCCATCTATAGCCGACCTTGGAAGAAGTCAAACAGAATTAGTGGATGTGAGCAGCTTCTAGGTTGTGTGTCTGAAATAGCATAGAATGAACCGAGATCTGCCTGAGCAGAAGAGCATTCTATCCAGGAAAGATGAAAGATCTTGCATCCTAACTGGAGGATGTTTCCAGATAAAAGACAGTGGACCCCCTATAAGTCTCTTGATTGCTTTCCATTAAAAAGTTGCATGAATCCAAGAAACACAGGCTTCCTCCCCGTGTTTCTGCAGTTTATATATATATTTTTCTTTTTCTGAGAGAAGGAACTTCTATTGAGAAAAGTCTATTAAAGCAGGGTTGGTTTGATGGTTTGTTTTTTTAACCACGTATTCAAACACAGAATTATAGTTTTGAACAACTCTTACCAGCACTGGGAAATCTATTCTACTCAGTGATTTGTAAGTGTGGTTTCCATTTATCAGTCCCAAACCTTATTGCTTCACAACTGCAGTATCCCTTGGAAAAAAAAATATATATATTCAAATGGTCTGTTAATTTGTCTCAAATGGCTTTTGGATTTGGAGGGGGAGGGAGAACGGAATGGCCAACACAGAACAGTGACTTCAAAATATTACTGTATGAGGGTTTCCTCTTATTAAAAAAAGGATACACTGTATTAAACAGCTGAAAGTAAAGACAGCATTCAAAGCCCATGAGTCAAGCCACAGCCAAAACCGTGTTCTACCCCTAAGTATGTTTTCTTTTTCCTTTTTTCTCTCTTTTTTTTTTTTTTTCTTTTTTTTTTTTCTTTTTTAAACAAAGATATCCTCAACTGCCATTTAATCTTCACCAGAGGGTGCTTCCTCTTCAGATCCCTCATCCCCTGACTTCTCTGGTGGAGGGCTGGCTGATTTTTTCTTTTCTGGAGGACTTTCAGGCTCTTCATCCTCTTCTTTGGGGGATGGGGTCTTTTCTTTTGTTGTCTTGGAAGCTGTGGGGCGGCCTGCCTTCCCTTTGCCTTTCACTGGACTGGGAGTCACTGGAAAAAGAAAAAGCTTACACAAGTTATTGTCAGCTACCAAAACAAGAAAGTGACAAGCCTTTGTACAAACAGGATTTAAAGACACTGCAGTAGCAGGTCTCACTCTGCTCTGACCATGGCGTTACATTCGTTCCACAGTACTGAAGTTGAACTGAATGAGGACTGCCAGCTCCTCCACCCTTAATGACCAAGAATCCCAAACAAAGCCACAAATTACATTAATTGGACATGAGATGCAGAATGTCAGACTGCAACATACCAGCAGATGTTCACAATCAACACAGGTTTTGTCAGCGATACATAAATACTAATTCAATCTCTTTATTAAGTAAGAATTCAAGACATCATCATTTCACTGTGTTACTTTAAATCATGATAAGTGACTGCTTACAAGAAACAGCCCTTCAACATAATAAAGTAATGCCTACTGGCCCCAAACCTTCTGTTCAGTCTTCAATAAATAAGCACTAAAAAACAAAGTACTAGTCTCTAAATTGAATTGCACAGTTCTGCACAGACTCACCTGTAGCCTTTAGCCTGGGCTTTGGCATCTTCTTTTCTTTCCTCTCTGGCTTGGACTTCTTGGAGGCCTTTTTATTTTTCTTTTTTGAACTGCCATAGTCACTATCATCATCATCTTCCATGAGAAAATCCTCATCGCTTCCTGAATCTTTTGAAACAACAACAAAATTAAGTTCTTGAAGACAAGGAGAAGAAGCAAAAAAAACACCCAGCAAGTTAAACAGAGAAGTCAGAAAACTAAAGATGCTGTGACCTTATGAGCTTCCAGCTGCCTGCTGTGCTAGGGAAACGTGGCAGAAGATTTCACAGTAGTAGGGATAAAATATGACAGAACAGGGGGCCTTTTTCAGAACCTCGAAATATGATCCATCCTAAGGAATCCATTAAGAAACGCATTTGTGATGATAACCTTACACCCTTCTGAAATCACATCTGCATCCACTATTTCAAAAAACTTACTGTGGTTCATCACTGGTTGAATTCATCTCCCCTTGTGAAACTAACTGCCCTAACTTTGATCAATCAAGGATAAAGTATTTTTCCCATCAGCTGAAAAGCAGCAGCAACGCCTCAAAACTGATGGAGGTAACAAGAAGCAGCAAGAAACATTAAGAAAATTTCAGTGCTCCTCAAGTGCTGCTTATAAAGAATTCCTCAGAATTCCTGCAAACTTAGAACAAAATTTTTAAATGTCAAAAATTGACAGTCTGACAGACAGGTACTCATTAATGAGTAAGCACCAAAAAGAATAACTTACATCTTTATTGTCAAGTCAAAAAGGAAACTGCTCCTTCTTCTATTCAGCCAGACCCGTCAGCCTACATCTGGTGCTGCTGCCCATATGACCAGGGCTTAAACTTTTTATGACTGTCAGTACAATCCCATCTACTCACTCTCTTGGAACTGTGCCTCATCGTCCTCTTGTTCTTCCTCCTCACTACCCACATCATCCATAAGCATCTCTCGTTGTTTGGAAGCTGCTTTGGATGCTGCCTGTCTCTGCTGACGCACGTTTTTGTGGTCTTCTTTCTCATCCTCACTGTCCTCTGCAGCACAAAGTCATCGTGTTATAATGAAGACAGAAAATACTGGCCAGCACATCTTCATCAGCCAGCGAGTGGACAGACAAAAGTCCACTTTATAGAACAGTGTAAGGAGTAAGTGCATACACAGCACAGAACTACTGCAATGCAATACAGGAACAAATACATCAATTTTCATACTTGCTGAACAAGAAAATTAGAATTATTATTGCAATTGTTTCTTTACCTGCAGGCCTTTTCCTGGATTTAGAGGCTCTCTTATTCTTATCTGGTTTGGCCTTCTTTCCTTTTTTGCTTTTTTGAGAGCTCTCATAGTCACTGTCAGCTTTGCCATCATCTGCTCCTAAGTCATCATCTTCACTGCCAAAATCTTCATCTGGAAGGAAAAAGTGAGAATATTAAGCTTCCTCTGTGATCGTGGAACAGAGGAGAATCCGAGGGAGGAGACGAGCATCCACCTCTCTACCTGTGAGGACAATCTACAGCAGCATCACATTACACAAAATCTGCTGCCCCCAACCAGGGCTGGAAGTAACAAGCAGCAGAGGCAGCATCCAGCTTAAGATAAACGTGTCAGGAAAGTGCATGCTTCTCTAAACAGAAGAGCTTCTCCTGTGTGACAGATCTCACTCCTGGAACATTCTTACAGACTGGCCTTTATTTGGAAGGTAATTATCAGTGCAGCATGGTTAGTTACCTGCTGAGTGCGAATCATCTTTCTTAGTCTTCACATCTTTTTCCTCTGAATCCTCACTGAAAAGGAGGGAAAGATTGCTTAACTCCTATTTCACTCATTTGCTATATGGAAAATAACAATTTTCAGAGAGCAGATTGATTTCTAGGCCAAGAATACCCACTTTTCCTGAACATTACATTATACTTTAGCATTACTCAGAAGCACACGAAGTTATGGTTGGAAAGAAAGTTCAAGCTCTGTACCACGTAGTGCCAAGGAAACCAACCAGGATATAAGGGTAAGGTAACCATGCATTTTTCTCCAGAGACTACTAATAATCCAGATGTCTCCCATCTTACAGTTAGGATTTTGAAGTTATATGTGCTAATACAAGGTCAAATCTATTAAAAGGAATATAGTTTTATCCTGACTATATGTATAATGAAGTCCCTTCTCTTTTTCTCACTGTTTTCTTTCACTCTGTCTCACCAGTTAACTACAACACATTTGGTCTGCAGGCTCCCAGTCTGATCTCTGACAGACTTTCACCTCCCCTTACAGTGGTTTCAGTCCTCATTAGAGCCTGTCCCATCAAGTAGGTACTACTGCTTCTGCACCCAAATCCCTACCACTTGTCACCTTGACTGCCCAGGTTTGGCAGTAGGAGCTAACACAGCATTGCTCAAGAACTTCCACAGTTCAGACAACATGTTACCCTGCAGTCCCTCAGGCCCATTTGATTTCAGCCTGATGGACAACTGTGGATTTGAAAGCAATACGTGCATTTGTTTCACATCCAGACTCCGTGCAATGCTTGTAACACAAACAGGAGTGTTCTTACATACTTAAATATCACTTTAGTTAATAGGACACTGTGGTCAACACTATTTAGTTGCTCTGGGAGCTCCCTAGCCCAGTTTCTTTATATAACATCTTATCTACCTCAGATCTTTATTTCAGGTGTTATCTAGAAGTTTGACCTCGAGAATTTCTTTAAGCATTGCACGAGCAGAACAAACACACCGGTCTAAGCAAACTGCAGCAACCTGCCAAGCAACAGATGAACTACACTGGGCCACAATTAATGCAGTTAGATACCTGAAGTATTTGAATAACATCACTTCTGCATTAAATGTTTACCCATTGTTCATGTCAAAACAGTGCAAAACAAGTCAAGAGCAACAGCAGGAAATGATTGCTTGGGTTTTCTTTCCTGAAACCATTTCAAGACATGAAAACATGAAGTTCATATCTTTGGGAAAATTAAAAGCCACGGTGAAAATGGCCTCACCCTCTCAGTTTATAACAGTAAGTAAAAACGTTCCCTCATGCCTACATTCAGCTTCCACCTTATAGCACAGGAACATGAAGGGAGAGAGAGATGGAGAGAAACATCTGAAGCATACCTTGTGGTAAGTTAGCTATATTCCACCAAACAATGCAAGACAGTTAAGAGATAACCAGCTGGCAGAATCTCCGTCCCTGAAAGCAGTCAATTCATTTAATAGGTCTCTTTTCATCACGTTTCTCACAGCAACCATTTGCTGATCACAGCTATTGTCAATGCAAGATACCCTCACTCTACAGGAAGGACTTCCACTGTTAGCAGGGAATCATTCAGAATGCAGACATTTCACATTGCCACAGCAATTCAGTTACCAGAACAAGTTACTCAGTTTCTGAATTAGACAAAATAGGAAGTGAAAAAATAACAAAGAGCTGCAAAACTGACAAGTGGCCCCTACCACTGCAGTCACTGTACCTGCCCTATTTAATCTTCAACCACATAAATGCTCTGAGCACACCAAAGAAACACAGAGAATGAAAGGCACCCAGCCACCAACTTACCTGGAGATAATTGCACCAGCTGCCAATCTTTGTAACTCGTATCAAGTTCCTTGCCATTCCAACTGGATAGCTCTGGAAGGCTATTTTAATGCCAAAGTGCTAGTGACAAGTATTTTACACATGATTTCCCTGCCAACTTCAATAAAAAAGAACCACCTCAATGTCCAAGCTGGTTAGGAAAGCTTTGTGATTGAGAGCTCTGTGTCCCACACTGCACGTTTTGAATTCCACTTACAATCATTGCTCTCAGAAGATACAGCTCCCCACACACAGGACAAGGTTTGAAGACACGTTCTTAACAGATGAAGAGCTTCTTTTACCTGTCTTCCTGAGAATTCTTCCCGGATCTCCTCTTATTTTTAGCCTCGCGGGGAGATGAGCGGATTTTCTTGGATGGGGGACCTGAATCTCTCCCATAATCTTCATCTAGATGGGACAAAATGGTTTTGAATCAAACTCCTCCTTCCCAGCAAAATGACCTCCTCAGCCAGCTGAAACTGACCATTTCAAGCATATAAAAAGTAGCTCTTAAAGAAGATAAAACCCCAAAGTTACAAAGAAAGCTTTACAGAAGTGAAGTCCTGCCTTCAGCTGCTGATTTACCTTTTCTTCTGCCAACAGCACCATAACAGCACTGCACACAACCAAATCTGAAACAGAAGTGTTGGGAAACACACAAAATGCTTCAGAAGAAAAAGGGGCATCTTAACTTCACAGCTCATTAGGAACACAAACCATCATGGAAACCTATTAGAGGTTAACATCCATTCATATATTCGTATGCTTTTAACAGCAACAACTTTATTTACTGCCCTATGATGGAAACAGGGCGTTACACAATACCTTACACAATACAACAGGGCATATTTGTTTCCAATAATTACCAGTGTAACCACCCTTAGGAAACAGTAGCAGTGCATCTATTTTCTAAGAACACAAAACATATTCCATATGGCAGCCAGAAATATTTCATTAATTCTGACAGAATATGCTAAGATTCTTTATTTATTTTTTTTTTTTTAGGTGCAATTCACAACTATGCCCAACATGATGGGATTAACTGAAGCCCACTAAAATAAATTGAAAACACATTTAACTATAGGAAAAAAAAAAAGCAGCACCAGGGTTGTTGGTTTTTTTTTTTGCCACAGAACATAACAGAGCAGGGAAGATGGTTGCTGCCAACAGCCTGAAGGCACTACAACAATACAAGCATTAAATAACAAGATTTCTATCACCATTGTTTGTTTAATACAAAACATATGAGAACCATTATATTTTCAAATGCTCATTAACAGTTCAGAGGCTGCAGACTAGAAACTCCCCAGAATTTAGGTTAAAGATGTGACTGCAAGCAACGTAATTAATATGCAAAGCCTTAAATGAACCCCTGTAGCCCAAGGATATGATATTGTTAAGAACAAAGTCATTTACCAGCATCATCTGATTCCTGAAACTGGGAGTAATCGACCACCTTCCTGTTCCTGTTAGAAAGGAGGGGGGGGGAAAAAATAAGTCAGTCAGCAGTTCAACAATCTGAGAGACACAAAAGCTTTATTTCAGTGACAAGAAAGTGCCACGCTCTTATTCCCAGCACAGGGTTTGTAGACCAACAAACATCCCGAGAGGTCCTGCACAAATAAGCCACCTAGGGCTTGGTGGTCCCAGCAGAAAACATGGCACGTCTGAGCATTTTCCTAAGGCTGAATTCTAGCCTCAGAATTCCAAGGTGCTTTTTGATAAGCTGTGCTCCCTGATGGCTCACGGCTGCTGTGACAAGAAGCCACCAAACGCCGTGTGCTGCAGCTCTTTCATTAGTCAATCTACACACAGCATTTACAGCCACAGTTGTAAAAGCACCGTTTAAAGGCAGAGTCCACATCCAAAGATTAAACATGCATTTGAAGAACGCATCGATCTGAGGTTTCTTAAGGCAGAGCTCCCACTAACTCTGTTTCAAAGCTGTGATGTTTCGGATTCTGGATTAAGAACAAAAAAACAAATGCAAGTAAAGGAATGCTGGCAACTTATTAAATATTTGTTGGATATCAGAAGTGCTTCGTAGCAAGGGAGCCTTGCTGAAATAAACCAAAGTTTTCAACAGGTGCCAGTGCACAGGTGAGGCAGCATTAAACACCACTTGTAACACAGCACTGCACACAAAGCCTCCCTGCTTTTTATTCCAGTGCTACAGTTGTGGGTTTTCTGCAGTCAATGAAATCTGAGCAAAGTTACTGGAATGCTTTTCAGAATGACTTGAAAAGGAAAGGGTTTATTCTCCTTGTCACATGGAAAGTGAACTAAAAAAAAAAAGATCACTTAATTACTTGCATTTTTTTTTACTCTTGAAGAAAAATCTTAACATTATACTTCTCGAAATGGTTTAAACCATTCATTTCTGTCAATTGACTCTCACAATTGATTAAATAATGCTTTGGGGAAAGAGCACTAAAATCTTCTCAAAGCTCCTAATAGCACAAATTACCTGTTTCCAAGCTGCTCTTTTTCAGATCCCAGCTCCTCACAGCTCAATATAACCACGCTTGCTCTCATACCTTCTCCTTGAGCTGCTCCTGTTCCCACGTGTTCTCTAACACCTGCAGCTCACTGCTGCCTTTTGGCTGCCCTGTCAATCAGTTACTCTGATGCTCTAATTAATATGTATGGCAGCCCTAACAACGATTAAAGCTGTTCCCAAACGGAACATTAGCAAAGGCCCTGCATGCATTTTACCCTACCTGCATTTCTGAGCAGCACGTGAGCACGGACCAATTCCATCCTTACTTCATCAGCACCTTCCCTGCTCTCTAACCAGCTGCGAGTCGTGCAGTACTGAGTGTCCTTAACACAGCAACCACAACAGCCCAGGACAGACAGAATTAGGCAACTGCAGAAGCAGAGGCCACCAATGCCTCCATCACAGACCTGAGGACCCAACACAAATCCCTCCAGCATATGAAGCACCCTGCCTTCACCCTGCCCTTCTCCTGAGCTGCAAGGACTGCTGGATTTCACGTTCACTTCCCAGAACTGAACTGCATTTTGGTCAGTGTCACACATGGTTGATAAAATTGCCCCGCTGAACGTCCCAAGAGCTCCAGCACTGCGTTCTGGTTGTCAATCTGACACCCATTCTAAGCATTCCTCCTGTCCAAGTACCTCTATTTGTGACCTATAGCAGAGCAGCAGCTTTCCAACAGAGGAAGCAGCATAATTACTTTATTTCAAGCCTACTCAAAGCCTCTTAAAGCTCCAACAACAATAAAAAACAAACCAACACAGGCAACAAAAGAAAGCAAGACTAGTCATCAGATTTCTACAGGTTGAATCCCATCCAAGCTTCGGGGTAAACGTGAGTACAAAGTACAACTGCAATGCCTGCAGAGCACAGCCAGCCCTAACAGCACCATGCCCACTCAGGAATACTATACCAGCAAGGTCTGCACCACACAACTCAACCTCCTGGTCCAAGAGGAGGTCAGATCATAGGATCACAGAATGGCCTTGCTTGAAAAGGACCACAGCGTTCATCTCGTCCTCACGGAGACTCCTGCCCACGCGTGGGAAGCCAAGTTTATTCTGGTAAGCATGTGAAGAGCGATGAAGTTGCCAAGTGAGCTGTTTGATTTGCTTTAAGTTTGAGGTATTATGCTTTTCTCAATAAGCATAAACAGGGAAAAGGAGGTAGTGCTGCTGGATATTCAGTTCTAGCAGCTTTGTAACCAGGGGCTTCAAACATCACTTAACTAACAAACGAGATGGAAACTGCAATCTTGCCACCTCACAGTGAGTTGGTCACACACAGCTCACCTTGCTTAGTTCAGTTCAGGCCCACACTGAATCACATCTTTAATAGAAAACAACAAGCAAAAGGATATAAATGGTCAATGTCCTTTCTCTACATACTGCACATGATGTGTTTTTAGTCAGAAAGTACATTCTGCTATTTTCTTATTATCTGCCCTGCAGGACTAGGGATATTTGGCATCATTAAAGAATCACTATGGCAGAAGCAAACAAGAACAAAACAGCATCTGTACTGATATTACCTGAACTTGAAAGACGACCCAGCAGAACCAAAAGAAGCTCACGAGCAGCAACAAAACCAACTGCTCTCCCATTTGCTGTTCTTCTCACTCCACACTCATCACTCACCTCCCATTTATCCTCATATTTTTCTTCAAAACCATCAGCAGTGACTGCATGTTTGCAAAGACTGCATCTTCCACTGCACTGATGTGATAAAGTCAGGGAACTTCATTGGAGATGAGAAAGCAAACAACCCAAACCCACCAAATTGCAAGCAAACATACAAAAAATACACTGTTAAACTCAGACTGAGCATAAGAAGACAGACCAAAAGACATCTGGGACAGATGTTGTTCAATCTGGTTTAAAACAGACCATGAAATTGTAAGATAACTTCTTTGCTCTTACAGCTTAATATTAAAGTGTACATACGAGAGCGAGCTGGGGGAGGAAAGGCACAGAGAAAGCCCTGAGAGCTGAAGTTTCTCGTGGCAGCTGTCAGTTCTGCATTTCTGGAATGAAGATCAACCCAGAAGCACAACGGCACATGGCATTAAAAGCTCTCCAGTGATTTCATAAGAACTCAGAACTGCACAGCAGAGTTCTGACAACTCGTACTTGAAGCGTATCAGAATCCAGTTCCAACATGATGGAAAACAACATCAGTATTTAAAAGGATCACTGAACACCCACACGACTGAACACAGGCTGTGTAACAGCATCGCATCTCCAGCTAACGCTGCTCTCCAACAGCAGCACTCTGGAGTTGCCTTGTCAGCACACAAAATAACGAGGAGTCAGAATACTTCTGGTTCTCTAAGGAAATGTTTAAATCCTCCTGTATTTCCACAGGCACTACAGATGAAGTCCAAGATTAAAAAAATACATACACTGCCACTGGAAAGCCCAGCTAAGAGTCTTCAGAAAGCTCATAGCTGCCTCATCTTGCAAGCAAGAGGAATGTTTAGGTCAAGCAATTATCAGCAGAAATAACAGCCTACTTTCTTATACAACTTGGGAAGTAAAATGAAGGAGAGGTGAAGCGGTTGCTGATGGCTTTGTTTTAAATTATGGCATGGAATTAAATAAACATCCAACAAAGCTTCTGTGAAGAGGCATAGCCTGCCTTCAGCCCATGCCTGGCACACGCAGGGTCAGTTTCAACTGCAGGTTCTCATTCCAGTGGGCAGAGCTGCCCTGCTTGGATGGCAATGTGTCAGCAGTAAATACTATCACCAACAGCACCACTTCTGTGCCTTCTTACAGAGACACGAGAGATGGGTAGGAAATATTCTTAGGGGCACAGCTGTACTGAGGCAAGGCTCACTGACCAGAGGGTCCCAATTAAAGGGGTCATTATTTGGGTCTGGGCTTGATGCAACTCCAAACATCAGGAAGACTGGGCACAGCTGATGGCATCTGCAGGATTTTTAGGGATACACAACCTGAAACCCAACAAAACAATGAAATGGTTGATGAGGCTGCAGTTTTATCAGCCTTGTGCCTGCCCTCCTTTTGATATAAATGAGAAGATGCTATAATGCAATATAGAAACGTTCTAAAAGCAAACGAAAAAACACAAGATAGCAGAAGCCTGTTCTGCAACAAATGCTGCAGAGTAAAAATCAAGTTACCAGGAATGCTACCTTGCTTCTTGTTTCTCACCACACCGCAAGTCTTCAGAGCAACTGACTTGTTTTTCTACCTATCCAGAAACTATCTTTATCTTGCTCATCTCTGGACACTGCCACACAGATTACTCCAATTAATTGCCACTGCCCAAGGCATTTTCTGCTCCCCCATGCAAGTTATCCAGAATCCCTTCCACTTCACACTGTTCAGGTGCAATGCTAGCAACAAGACAACTGATATCTAATAAATGCTTTTTTTCCTTCCTGCAACACTATTGCCAACACAGGACTGGAAGTTGCTAATGAAGAAGAGCTAAGTATGTAAAGCCATAAAGCCTTGAGACACCGATAGATCTATTTGTAACTGCCTTGAATCTCCAAGCAAATCCACCAACCACGCTGGGATTTCGGTGCTTGCCCACAGCTTTCCATCTTGCAACGCCTGCAGGAATGAAGCAGCAGCAAGTGAAAGTGACCACTGTGCAGCAGAACGTGGGAGCTGATGCAGGATTTCATTAATTAGCCACGCGAGGGAAAGGTTCACTAATTGTAGCTTCCTTTAGTTTTCACTGTTTGCCATCTTCTAACAATAGTGCAGATACCATCATCAGCCACCCGGGAGTCGTCTAATTGCACAGAAAGGATTTGGCTCTGAATTAACAAGCATGAAACCTGTAAACACGTGGGCTTTATTACTACTTAACAACTACAAGAAACTGAATTCAACAACCAGACTCAGTTTTAAGGCAGCCTTCTACTGACAAGCAGAAACTGGGGATATCTGCTGGGTCTTACAAAGTTCACTGTTTGAGGTATGTATACATGCCATAGAAAACCAGCAAACATCACCAGTGAATTAAAAAACATCACCACATCCGATTCTGATGAGGAACTTCTCACCAGAATTCCACATCACCAACAATAAGACATCCAGAAGCTGTAATCTCCAAAGGTTTAGGATTTGAATCCATGGTGAGAGTTCTCCACCTACTCCCAAGCACAGCAGTGCAACAGACTGGCCAAGTTCAGCCCTGAGAGAGCTACAAACACAGCTGGGCAGCAGCTTGCTCCACCTCGTGCTGGCACGTGCCAAAGGGTGCTGAGCTACTAACAGCATGCTGGACTTTGGCACTGAGCTCTGCTGCACAGCAGTGCCTGTCAACTGCAAGACAGGTCGAGTCTTTTGCAACACTGCATGATTTTATGGATTTTGGTTTGTTTGTTTGTTTTTTGTTCTGGTTTATGAAAGGTTTCTTACAAAGGTTCCAGATACCAGAAGCCTTGAGAACTGAGTTGTTAAAGACACTCTTTCCTAATCTGCAGCAAAACTCCAGTGCTGGCAAGTAAATCAGCAGCAGAACACACACAGAGCAGCACAGTCACATCAGCACTATTCCAGGACACAAACACTGCCAGTCAAATTCAGACCACGAGTCCATTTACCCCAACAGCCTGTCTCACAAAAAGCCAGAAGCTGATGGAGCAGAGCAAGGTGTTCACTCTGCTCACCACCTCTCAGACCTGAGGCCATTCCTGAGCTCTGTCCCCCTTCCTTTTGCAGGCAGCCACACGATGCTGACCCAACAGACAAACCAACCAGCTGTGACAACAACTGTTCCACGGATCAGTGTGACAAACATCCTGATTTCATGCTGTATTTCCACTCTTTTTTTGTTTTGTAAACTCTGACATGTTAGGGACATGAAATAGAAAAGGTAACACCTATAAGTTTGCATGTATAGTTTATGGCCTGGATTTACAAAACCATTGAATGCTTTGGTTGGAAGGGACCTTTAAGGTGATCCAGCTCTAGCCCCCCATACAAAATAAATCTTAGAACTGCCATAAATCACATCTTGATTATTCCAAAATAAAATACAGTTGGACTTGATAATCTTAGAGGTGCTTTCCAGCCTATGAGGTTATCCCATGTCACAGAATCATAGAATTACAAGGTTGGAAAGGATCTACAAGATCATCTAGCCCAACTGTCCTCCCATTACCCTTAATATCCTAGATCAGGCTCATAGAATCACAGAATGGCCACAGTTGGAAGGGACCTCAAGGATCACGAAGCTCCAAACCCCTGCCACACACAGGGCCACCCACCTCCCCATTTCATAGCAGCCCAGGCTGCCCAGGGCCCCATCCAACCAGGCCTCCAACACCTCCAGGGATCGACGGGGCATCCACAGCCTCTCTGGGCAGCTGTTCCAGCACTTCACCACTCTCACAGTAAAGAACTTCCCCCTGACATCCAACCTCAATCTTCCCCCAC